ATCAAAAACAGGTGCCTGTTACTTAAAACAATTAGTCATTTATGGCGAGAGACACAGACAGGCCTGTATAGATATAGGTATTAGATTATACATATATTCCTGCAAATGCCAGTAGTCACTATCTCAGCCAAGGTAAAGACCTTAGAGACTCAATACAATATTCTTAACTGTCCTACTAAACTATGCTTACTGTGTGTGTGTATATATTTATTTATTTCAAGATATAGACATTAACAAATGTCTTTGTCAATAACTGCACCATTAGTTTTCACTGGTCTAATTCCAACTTTTATGATCACAAAATACAGACCTACTTTTTTAAACTCACATTGTATGACAGCTGCTGATCCACTTCATGAGATTATCAATTATTTTGACACATTTTCAAAGGTTAAACTAAAATCACAAATTACAGTACATTGAAGTACTAACAAGACTTTTATGGTATAAATATTCCAAAATGGATAATTTGAATAATTTTTCTTCTTTTTAACAGAGAATTCTTTTGGAGACTCAACATATAAAGATGTTAAAATCAGAAGAAAGACTCGCAAGTATAATTATGAAAGCAAGGCTGATTCAATCAAAAGTATTGCAAAGCTAATTCCCCTGAAGCACAAAGTTTCTCATTAATGAGAAAAAATAAAAAAACATGACAAAAGAAACCAAGAAAAAAAAAGTTTCTCATCTTTCAAGTTTAATACCATATTCTTTTAGTAGTTATTTTTTTTCAGTCACCAGACAATTTATTTATATGTGTACGCAATATTCAAATAATACTAATAGATACAATTTAACTTTCTTTTTTAACTGTGCTCAATATCATAGCTAGAGTCACTATAATGTCCAATATAGACCAATGTTTAAAAATTGGCCTTAAAAATCCTCAAAAGTCTTAGGCCACATACCTTCAGGACATGGGTGATCATGACTCTCCAAAATGCTATTTCTTGTGATCCCTAAAATTTTTCTCCTTTTGCAAAAACTCTCACCTATTCCGCCATTCATCCATATAAGCTCGTTAAGTAGATAGCTTGCTGCCTTCCAGTATCTCTCTTACTCTGATCAATATTTCCCTATACATGAACTGAGTAAATGCTTGGAAACTCTCTCTCTATGATAAAAATGTAGTTTTACAGTATACTATACTTATAGGTAAAAGTGCTCAATATCAGGGATAGAGCACATGTAAATATAAAAGTGGACACTGAGGTCAGCACCAAGCAGTGACAGGACTGAAGATTGCATTAAAATATAAAGCAGTCTGTCACTGGTTGATATTATATATATATATAAAGGTGGTGTAATGGAGAGTGGGTAAAATTGAGAAATTGGATAACAGAGTTTGAATTCCAATTGGATTTATAAACATTCACTTATGTGCAAGAATCTTTGAGAAAGATATGAATCCATCTCTTCATCCTCTCAGCTATGGATAAATAGCAGGACAGGACAGGATAGGTCCTATAGCCTTGGGTGGCAATTGGTCTAGAAGGGTCATTTGGTCACTATGTCACTATTCTGTATTCAGCTATTTCAAAAAGTGTGGTTGGTTTTGCAAGCCTGCACCCCACCTATAATCAAATCATATGTGCAAGTTGTCTGGCTGTTTGCTTCTAAGAACCGAGTCCTGTATATATATATATATATATATATATATATATATATATATATATATATAAAAATAAATAATAACAACTTATTTCAACATTAAATCATCTAGCAAGTATTGATATCATAAAAATCAATGAATTCAACTCATTTTTCTTTCAGAAAAGAGAGCCATATTTCCCTAATAAGATATACAATTTGATTATTATAAAACAAACAAAAAAATGTTCTCAAACACAGTTGGGTAAGATATCTATTTATTTTCTCATGCGCAAAATAATTTCCAAGAAAACTTAAACACTTTTTTTAACACAGGGAAAAGCAAGAAAGGGCATTAATCATGATGGGAAAATTCCTCTTTTACGAACTAAAAGATGGATGCCAATGATTCTGACTGCTTTTCCTTAAAATATATCAAATCTTTCAGAATGACAGAAGCTAAATTAACCAAGATAGATTATTTTTTGTTTAACCTTATGATTCCATGTCATAATCTATGAAATTAAGCTATAGACTAATTATTCCCAAGAGAAAAAAATGCACATTCAGTATTAATAAATAAACAGCTAGACAGGTAAGCAAACTGCATTCATTTTCATGGAATTTTTTTCGAATTTCTTTCTAGTATCTAAAATTTAATTTTAAGTTCAAATGATAAAATGGATGTCAGAGATTTAACATATAAACAGTGTAGACAAAGATGCAAAATAAATGAAGAATTTCAATAACATTTTTTTTTTTTTTTTACTTGTATTCAGTTCAGAAACGCCAAAGTTGAGACAGTTGCCAGGTGAATTTTGATTTGTTTTGTTTTACAGCATATTAACCATATTTTTTTTTTTTTATTGCTGGTAATATTCTTTTTCCAAAAATGTATTGCTGGTAATAATTTTTACAAAAATGTATTTCTGAAAAAGAAACCTATTTTTCCACTTTCATAGTGTTTTGACCCCAGTTTAGGGTTTAAGTATTTGCCCATAGCTGGGAGCCTAACAGGTGCTATCCCTCCAGGTCAGGGCAAACCTAGGAACACCAGCAATTAAGAGGTGGTTCCACGCTCCTCAAAACCTCCTGATAAGAGGCCTTGTTGTCAGATGTAGTTTATCATCTTACCCATGACATGGATGTAGTTTATTGTCATACCCAGGGCGGGTGAATTTTGATCTGAAATTTTCTCTCTGACCACTAAATTAAGTGCAGACAGAAGAGGAGATTATATTGAAATAAAAAAATTGTTACTTTAAATAAATATTTTTTTTTAGTGATTAATTTCAATGTACCTATATACATAAATTGCTGTATTGTGTTAGAGTATTTTTATGTCTCAAGTCCTTCAGGATATGGACAATCATAGCTCACTGAAATTTCCCATCTTTTGAGTAACTTTAAGTAACTTTTGAGCCTTTACCATACCTCTTTAGACCTTGTTCCATCATTGATTCACTTACACCTGTTAAGCACGTTACTTTGAGCCATGTTCTTAAATAGCCTCATCAGATTGAGACTTTCATGTTGATATCATGCATGGCACTAAACCTATTCAGAAATATCTAAACTATTAGCTATGCATAACTGATTTCTGAGATTTCTGGTTAAAAATGGATTTGAGTATGCAAAACCTGATGGCAAAGATCATCCTTCTTTGAACACTGTAAACTGGCACTACAGAATCACAAACAAGAGAACTTCATTTTCTAAAGATTAGTAATCTATTGCAGGTTATTTAAAGCTAGAATATATTTTTAGATTTGTAAAAATCTTGGGGGGGGGAGAGATAAGGATTTAGTGATGCAAGGAATGATTTTCACATGTGAAAAATACAAACATAGTACCCATCAAAAATGATGAAAGTAGTTATGTATGATCAAAATCTTTGGGCAAGATCAAATTATTATCTATTCAAGCCAAAAAGAATTAAAGTGCCACTCCTTGGCTCTACTTAGGATCAAAATAGTGTCGTTACCCTCTAGAATAAATATAACATGTGAGCCTGTTGAATATGATCGATGTATTATCTGTGCACTCTGCTTAGAATCAATGTTGTATCACTGTGTTCTGTTTAGGATTAAATGTAGTACCTGTGTGTTATCCTTTGGAACAGCATAGGACCTTTACATTCTGTCTAAGATCAGTGTAGCATATGAGCAGCATTCTATGACTAGTGTAGTATATTTTAGTTCTGTCTAATTTTACAGAGCAATCAATAATAGGAAAATTGTGCATGGGGTATCTGGAAATTTCTGGGGGCAGAAGAGGTGAATTTATAGCAAGGTATTTGTGTGTAAGTGAATATAACAAACCCAACTGGAATTGGAACTTGACTCTCTGATTAACAATTATCCATTAAACCAACTGGACATCCAAGCTTACAGCCTTGGTATTCCAAAATGGTCACCCATCTAGGTACTGATTAGACTTGGTGTTGCTTAACTTTAGTGATCATATGGGAACCAGAAACAAAGAACTGTACCAAATAATAAAAACTGAATAACTTGAGGACCATCAACAGCAGTAATAACTAAAATGAACAGCACATGTAACATGAAGAGAAAATAATGATATAATCAAGATGTTGGTTAGGAAGGAAACCCCCATCAATACTGGAAAGAAACTGCTACTGGATGTGGGAAAACTATTTTCCTGAAAAATTGTTTCACAAAGATTTTGCATATTTCAACCAACAGCAGTACTGACTGCTTGGAGAATGAATATCAAATGTTTCCTTGTAGGGAAATGGCTAATATTACCATTATGTAAGTCTATAATGTTTAAGTATATAGTTGCTGCAAATTTTATAAATCATCAGTATTTCTCTACTTTTCATTTGCTTTAAATTAGTTTTTTTTTATGTGAACTGATATAGTTAGAATGTGACTCCTCAATTATATTCAAGCATAGAACATCATATTTTAAATCTTTTATTTATTGTCTGAAGAACTAAAATGTAGAAGTAGATATTTTTTCTACTAATTAGTAATGCAAATTTCCTTTATAGTGCTTCTTTACAATTTTCATTGTGTCAAAAGTTTGAGTCTGTAAATGTCATCATTGAGTCCTGGAATGGAACCACGAAATTCTTTGATGAATTAATTATGACACAAGCTTCTTTCAAAAAACAGTGTTTGGTCAGTCAGTCAGATTTTGGGAAGTGGGTTGAGCTGAGAACATTTCAGCACCCATTTATGCTGTTCTAATTCATCAGATTTGATTTTGATTGTAACTAAATACCACCCACACAATTGCTAAGCAGATGTGGATATAGAACAGAATAAATGGTGTAGAAAGGAGAGAGGGGGGAAAACTTGTGTAGAGTGTAGAGAAGGAAAAAAAAAGTGTGCAAGAGGAAAGAAAAGAAAAAAAATAATAAGAAAAACAAAATGGACACTCACTTTCCATAACCAATGGTGTTTGGTCTGGCAGTATTTTGCTTCTCTGTAGTGACCATAGCGATCTGGACTGGCTGCATTATTGCAATCTATTTTCATTGCTCTGGGGGGTAAATGAAAAAAAAATGTCATATGAACTCATCACATCTGAACAGGTTTCAATTATGATTATCAGTTTCAATTTGCCAATAAATGAACACAGAAAATGAATAACAAAAAACGTTTTTCAAGGAAGAATTTTAAATTTCTAAATAATTCCTTATTGTAGTAAACTGTTGTATTTTAATACTAAAGTTTAAGGCTCAAGAGTCATTCAATGTAGAGTGTGAGAATCAAAAAGATAATAATGAATAAGGTATGTGATATGAACAAAAATAGCTGATAAGAAGTGAAGATTATGAAAATCAAGAGGATAGATTGACCTTTTACTTGTAGAGGTTAAGACTGTAGTGTTCAGGGAAACCTCTATGTGGAAGGCTGTTCCACAAAGCAGTATGGGAGAGCTCACTGACAAGAAATTTCTTCTTACATTTGAAATAAGGGTTATCTGAATCCATGGAGGTAACATCGTAAAGGTTGGAACTGTAATTTTTTTTTTTTTTTAAATAAAAAAGTCTTATTACAGTGTAATAAATAGGTAATATTAATTAAACAGGTGTGATTCTGCCCTGCAGACTTGTGTTACAAAAGTACTTTAAACAGTCCATGGGTGTAACTGTGTCTGCTAACATTATGTAGTAGTAGGACAAACTTCTACAGTCTGGAATCTTTCCTCACTGCAAACGGCCCGGATGTACTGGCTCTCTGTGAGACAAACCTTGTCTCATCTATCCCCTCTTCTGATCTCTCGATCCTCGGCTATCTTCCTCTCCTCAGAAAGACTCTAACCCACATGCACGGTCTTGGTGTCTACGCTAAGGAACATCTCCTCTGGCCAGAGAATCCTCTCTCGAATCGCCTGACCAGTCATACATGTGTCTCCGACTCTCTCCTCAATGCGGTAAGCTATCTCTTCTTCCTTTACCACTCTCCATCCTCTAAAGACTGTGAGATACTTGATAGCATTTCTGAATACAGACAAGGCTCTCTCCTCCACCCGTTTGCTCACATTTTTGTGTTTGGAGACTTTATCCCATCACACCCTGTGGCTTAAGAATGCTACTACTGACCATGCAGGCATTCAAACGCTTAATTTTCAATCTCCCATTCCCTCACACAGATAGTTAACTTCCCCCACTATTTTGCCTTCAACCAAAAGCCTCTCACTCGACCTGTGCTTTACCTCCATCCCCTAATCCTGCAGCGCCTCTCTGCCCTTTTGGTAACTCTGACCATGCAGTAGTATCGGTTAACATCTCCTTTAACTCCACCCCTATAAAGAACCTCCTACCACTAGAACTTCGTTCTATTATCAACAAGCTGACTGGGACGTGCTCTGTGATTTCCTCCATGATGTCCCCCTGGGATGGAGTCTTTTAAGCTCACTGTCCAAGAATGTGCTTCTGAGGTCTCTTCCTGGGTTAAAGCTGGAATCGACATTTTCATCCCATCAAGAAATATAGGGTCAAGTCGTGCCCTGCCCCTGGTTCTCGGCTGCTTGCTCAGCCCGCCATCGCCCATTGGAACCACTACTTCCACCTATACCGTAGCGACATGTCTGACTGCAATAGACGTCTCTTTGCCTCCACCCGTAACGAATGTAAGCGTGTCACTATTTGCGGCTCGAATGAAGGAACGTATTGCATCTCGCAAATTTGGCTCCAAAGATTATTGGCGTCTCTGCAAGAGTGTATTGAACAATTGCAAACCATCTATACCTCCTTTATTCAACCAGTTCGAAGTATTGACCTCTACCGACAAGGCTGAATGCTTTGCTTGGAAATTTTCATCCAACTCGACGCTCGACTCTTCAGGTATACCCATACCCGACTTCCTATGAGGCCATATTGAGTGGGTTAAACATAACCCCAACTTTGGTACTGGGCGTTATCTCCAATTTAGATCCCAACAAGGCTAGTGGTGGAGATGGGATACCAGCCATTGTCTTAAAGAAATGTGAGCCTGAACTGGCGCCCGCCCTTTCAAACTATACAACTACTGCCTCAAGGAATCTTGTTTTCCTGACTGCTGGAAGTCCTCTTGATCGCTCCTGTCTTCAAGAACTCCGCCACCCCTCTGACCCTTTCAACAAATGTCCTATCAGTCTCCTTCCCCTCTTCGGCAAAGTCTTCAAAGCTCTAATCAATACCGGGGTGGTTAACCACCTCACATCCCATAATCTGCTCTCAGACAACCAATATGGTTTCCGGCTTTGCAGATCTACAGCCGATGTGCTCACAGCCATCACTGAAACAGTCTACTGAGCCTCCAAAATAATGGGGAAGCCCCGGCGAAACTAGATATCTCCAAAGCATTTGATAGGGTTTGGCACGCCGCCTTCTCTGCAAGATCCAGGGTTATGGCATTACGGGTCGCTTATATAATGTAATACAATCATTCCTGTCAAACCGTGTCTGACGCCAACTTCGAGAGCAACTCTCTGCAGCTTCTCAGTCTCACGTTGACTGCTGACCTGAGATGGAATAAATACATCGAGTCAATTGCCCTGCGCCCACTGCGAGGGAAAGTTGGCTCCTGAGCCGCCGCTTAGGAAGTTTTTCTCCCCTGAGTCGATCCTCCAGATCTACAAATCCACACCCGCCCTTGCATGGAGTATTGCTGCCATATATGGTCTGGCGCCCCTTCTGTTTGCCTCGGAGTTCTTGATAGGCTCCAAAAGTGGATATGCAATATGGTTGGCCCTGCCCTGGCATCTCGTCTACAGTCACTTTCTCACAGACGCACCGTCGCCTCCCTCTCTGAGGAGCTGCATTCGCTGGTTCTCAGAGTTCATGAGTTCAAGCGCCCTACGAGGCTGGCATCCCGCTCTCACCCCTTCACTGTTGAAACTCCTAAATGTAGCCGTTTCTTCTACTCTAATAGCTTCGTGTCTCGCACCTCTCGCCTGTGGAACTCTCTTCCCTTCTCCCGTTTCCCTGTGAGCTATAATCTCCAGCTATTCAAGTGTAATGTCAATCGACATCTCCAGTTGCCTTAATCTATCTACTACCCTCATCCTTTCTTCTATCACTCCTATCTGATCTTGCTATTTTCTGTAACCCCTTGCGTCCTAGTGGCTTCCCGCCTTGCTTGGGGTGAAATGCTTAAAAAAAAAAAAAAAAAAAAAGTAGTAGTAGTTTTCCAAAGGTTGTTTGTGCCTTCCTGCTCATGTCATAGTGGGTGCAAAACAAAAATATTTTTTTTTATGTTTTGCACCTTATATAGTCTAGCATGTCAGTATTAGAGATTTAATTTTAGCCAATCAGTGAGCTTCTTCTATTCACTGTCTACTACACCCTCAAAATAAGAAACATAACTCCTGTTCTTTTTGGAGTTATTTCCTTTTAATTATACTCATAGGTGCCTAATTGTTTGGATCAAGATGGTGGCACTCTTGATCAAATTCACTCTATGAATTTTATAATTGCTAAACGATATTTTACAAGACGCCACTGCACTAGACTCAGATAGGTACAGCTGGTGGTCAACAAAAGAAATTGTGCATGCAAGAATTTATTTTGTGTAATAATAATAATAATAGTAGTTGACTAATACATTCACCATTTTTCTTAACATGCAGTGAGGAGGGTATTAATAAAAGTTTGTGGGTAAATCATATAAAGTGTCAGAAAGTATGAATGGGGAGGGGGCTGAAAAATTCATTTCAATTGCAAAAGAAAGAAAAAAATACTCACTCTGCTTTATTGACGTTTCTGGGGCAGTCATTGGGATGTTCACCAGGAAATTCTTGAGGATGAAGTTGTAATGAATGAGGAAAGAAAATCTGAATTACCTGAAAGAGAAGAAACATTTTATAATCATATGCTTAAATAGAAAAAAAGGATTATGTGTGTGTGTGTGTGTGTCAGACATAAGAATGTAGCATTGTGGGAAAATTGTTAAATGCTTTGGTTGTTAAATTCAAATAAGAAAACAGGTTCCACTTGTTTCATTAAATTTTGGAATTGTTGCAAATTTAAACAAAGAACATAATTGCATTAGTATGCCTCTTAAAGCCTCTTAATCTAAATACTATGACAAACTAATGGATAAATAGGTAGATAATACTATTTATTATAGTTGATGGTATACAAGATATAGTGTCTTATTTCAGCAAGGTATATGAAAAAATATACGTTGGATTGTATATAAGATGTTAGAAGAATTTTACCCAGGTTTTAAATAAATAAATTTACTTATCCATGATCTTGCCTATTAGTCTTCATTCACGGGAAACTAGGAAATACAAGGCACTTCCATGGGAGACTGAAAACAACTACCATGAAAATATTTTTAGAATTGATTGATTCAGTTTCTATGCCTTATCAACCCTTTGCAGGTTATTTAAAGCCACAAAATATTTTTAGAGTGTAAGAATTTTTATTTTTGATATGTTTTAGTGATACATGTCTTACTAATTAACCCATAGCTGGGGGGAAGAAGACGTGGAGTCATACCTTTCCCAGGATATTTGTATGTAAATGAATATAAGGGACCCGACTGAAATTGGAGCTCAGCTCTCTAATTAACAATTCTGAGCTATTATCCATTAAAACATCCACACATCCAAGCTTACAGCACATAGTATTCCCAAGTTGTCACCCATCTAGGTATTGACCAGGCTTGAAGTTGCTTAACTTCGGTTATTGTATGGGAACCAATATTTCAATGTGATATGGCCATAAGCCTTATATATAGAATAGAGAAGGAAGTTGTGTCACAGCAGTGGGAAAGTGACAGAAGTTGAGATGCCATGTCAGGATTGATTACATTACAGACCCTTCTTTTTGATTTTGTCAAGAATTATATATATATATATATATATATATATATATATATATATATATATATATATATATATATATATATATATATACATATACACACACAAAGTAACACCACCAGACCAGATATGGCAGCAATATTCAATGCATAGACAAATGGTAGATTTGATAAATGTGCAAGAAAGAATCTGATGAGAAATATTACCTGACATAAAGTGAAATGACTTTCTTAGCCATAGGCCTCGTAATTGATTCAATATAATCATTCATCTTCATGTTAATGGAAAAAGTGAGCCCAAGAAGGCATAATAAGTTGTTGTCCTGAAGGTTAGCATTAGCCATGCTGGTAGAAAGCAAAAAAGTTCTCTAAGAAGATGAAAAAAAGAGTAGTTTTGTTTTAGAGACATTAAAATTTACAAACTGCTCTTTGTCCTAGCCTCTGTTAACCACTGACTGGAGGTCCTTTTTGAGAACAACTGCCAGTGTGTGTGTGTGTGTGTGTATGTATATATATATATATATATATATATATATATATATATATAAATAAATAAATAAATAAAATTAATTAAAATAAAGAGTAAATAAATAAAAATAAATCTTTAAAAAATTATTTGTCTATTCCACTTTTGCAGTTGGTTTGCCTGACATTTTCTAGTTTATGAACCTCAACCATTTTCACTTTAGTTACCATTCAACCACATGGTCAATAGTAGATAGTTAATATTGTTTATTACAGTCACATATTCAGCATCTTTTTGCTAAGCTCATTTTGGATGTGAGCTTTGGTGTAATGCAAAATGCATGCCTTCTCAGTTATGAATCGAAAGATACACAATCGCCCAAGTGTGTACCACATCTGGCACTGAACTGATTGAAGTTCGTCTTTACTGTGAGGAAACAGCAAAATAGGCATTAAAAAAAATGAGTGGTTCATTCTAACACTTGTAAGTTTAAGATTCATCATATTGACAATTGAAATTCATACCAAAAATACATAGTCTGTTATACCACAGTTCCAAGACATCTTAAATACTGTTACTCTTATGCAATTAAAATGTCATTGCATTATGGTACAACTGAGGATGTATTTCTGGTATAAATTTTAATTGTCTAATGGTCAATGGCCAGTCTAAAAATCAAAGGGCATTAACCAAGAAGCTAGCACTGTGGTCAGATCTACTCTCTACAAACAATTCTATTTACTTGTCTGATGAGACCCCATATAATGAACCTCCAATGCTGAGGTGAAAGCCACAATTTATACAGACAATCAATAACCAAAAGTGCTTTGAATGTTGAAGCCAAATATGGCAAATGATAGAAAGCAGTAAAGAGGCAAGGAATAGTCACTCCGCTTGTCGGCAAACTATATTCAGAATAAAAGGAAATTAACTTCCTCAGATGAGAAGACAGTCCGAAGTTGATTAATCAACTTCCACTGGTCAAACTATCTGTGGATGAAGAGTGGGGAAGTTTTGGTGTTTGGGAGAGTAAGTGGCCGATTTCAAAGCTTTCAACTAACCACAAAGTTGGTCATCTTTCAGAATGTCCAGCTTACTCATTAGGAAAGACAGGAAATCGAGACAGAGTTATTGGATAAAATTTCAATGAGTGAACCGCACTGACATTTGTCAGAGAAATCAGTAAATATATTAGGCAGGATTTTCATTCCAAGCAAAAAGAAAAGTAGCTAAGCTGCTTGTTTGACTGATGAAGCTGATTCTAGATTATGTGACTATAAACAAGTGGAAAAAGTTTTAACAGGATACATCTAATTAAGAGAATTAGAGTAGGTGTGAAAATGTCTTCTTTCCAGCTGAAAACTGATATAAAACTTAGTTAAAAATTTGAAAAATAAAGATGTTTTCTTAATGTTTCTATGCAGCATGTCCCTTTAGGATGTGGGCAACCATGAATTACCAGTTTCCTGTCTTTTCTTTCTTTTAGCAATACTTAATCCTTTATAAACCTTTTTTTTATCTTTTATAGTACTTGAACCTCTCCATCTTTGTGGTTTTTGTACCTACCATCCATTTGTTTAAGCTTGTCAAATATGTTTCTTGTTCATGTCCTTTTTTTCTCATCTTCACCCTGGGCTTGCACAATAAAATCAAGCAGATATTTGTGTTTTTGAGCCCCTTGAATGATTTTCAGTTCAACTATAGAATTGAATTAATATTATTTATACTTAAAAGGAAGATTAAAACAAAGTGTTCAAATTTCTAATTAAACAAACAGGTGCTTAGGTTCAGAAACCCTGCTTCAAAGAGAACAGACAGAATTCTTATAAAGAGCTTAAATTTTCATTATTCGGACTATTGTCCTCATCTTTGTTGCCATATTTATCACAATGTTTCAGCTGACGTATGCTCTGGCCTTTTTCAGGTGGTTGGAATGTCAAAATTAACTCTTTATTTCGCGTTCTGGGGTAGACTGTTCTAGTTCTACATGCCATGTGTAATGGATGTCAGTTATCACTCATCTCCTGTTAATTCCCCTCTCCAAGTTCTCCGCTGTCTTAACCAGGTTTTGAACACACAACTCTGAGTCCTGTCACTGGATCTAACCAATGCCTTTATCCATTGGCCAAAATGTTGTGATAAATATGGCAACAAAGATGAGGACAATAGTTCAAATAATGTAAATAGTGTACATAATACCTCATCACAGAAATACAGACAGCTTAAATTTTGCATTTAATCCATGTAAAATCATTTTGGGAAGATTTTCAGTGTCAAAAATGGATTCAGTGTCCTATGAAACATAATAGAGGTCTAGATCATGATTTTCCAATAAATACAAGCAAAGTTTAAGTCAACAACTGATATTTAGTATCTGGTACCAAAAGCAAGTAATGATCAATTTAACATATCAAAGAAACTTAGTCCATTTTAAGTATCTTCCATAAAAGGATGTTCTTGCCATTTGCAGATTTAAATTCTTT